ACTTGTTCATATTCGCTTAAAATTGTTTTTATATAAATATATTAATTTGTTATTTAATTCATACTTAACAAATATATTATTATAGCTAATGATCAACTCTTCATTCACAAGGTACAATAACCTTACTATATACTGAAATTTGTAGATCGGTTACTTACCTACTTATACCTTTTGTTTTTGATGAAATTATTTTTTATTAGTGTTTGATATAATCGTATACTTACAATAAATTAATGATAATAAAAATATAAAGATTTAATAAAATTACGAGTGTTGATTATTTAATATTATAATCTTAATACATTAAATAATTTATATATTGATGAAAATGAGTATACATTATTCAACTAAATTATTGACTAGGTATTGAAAAATCTTTTAAATTGTCAATAAAATTAGTTTTCCAATACCAAATATACTTTAAAAAATAATTTACTATTAGTACATTTTATATTCTTTTGGTAGCTTTTGAATAAGTGATAAACATGAATAGAATAAAACAAAATCACTAAATAAAATAAATATGAAAAAAAAAAAACTAAGAGTTTACGAGATATTTTAGTAAAATTAAATAGGTTGTATTTGTTTTATAACTAAATTTATTGTATTGATACTTCACAAAATGTAAACTCTCATATTATATCTAAGATTTAAAAAAATTAACTTCTTTTATTTATTTTATTTTACTATGTGAAGCTTTTTACTTTCAAATTCAAAAAAATAACTTTTAGAATTATAATATTGTTTTAATATGAATACTAATTATTAATAATTGAATAAAATAAACTAAACATATTATATCTATGCGTATTATCTATTGGTTGTTTTTGAATATTTTGTTTGTTTTTTAAAGTACTGAGTAAATTTATAATTTTGACTGTTTATTTAACAATTTAATATTTAGACATACATAAGTATACCTACTACAATACTTTGTGAAAATAATTGGTTCCTGTATTATGAAATTGAAAATCCTAATTTTCTAATACTGCGGTTGTCTGCTTCAAATTTTTGTTAGGTAATGTTATATACAGGTATTTATTATTTTTTATTTAAATTTTTTATCTATTGAAAATTTAACAAGAACTATAGATATAAACATATATTATACCATTTCACATAAAATATATAGCTTGCATAATATTATAATATAATACATTATTATAAAGTACCTATTTTAAAATGTAATTTTTATTATTAGTAAATTATAAATAATAGTGATTTGAACAAATTAATATGAAATATGCTTATATTTTATAATTATCAGTTAAGATAATAAATTATTATTGCAATAATATCTTAATAAATGGGTAAACATTATATAGCGCAGATAATTATTCAAATTTTAAATTAATTTATATTTACTATAATGTTTGGCTAATGTATGTTTGATATGCTACTTACAGCACTATATATACTATACGTTATATAAAAAATATATATTTTTTTTCATAGTTAATTTAAAGGATTTATTAGGAGTAATTTGATTTATTTTTAATGTGATTTTGGATATTTTTTTTAAATAAACGTGGTTTCATAGTAAAATATTATTTACATTCTACACACAATATATAATGATCAAAGTAGTTTTAATTATTAATTAATAATATATTGATATGCTTAAAATAGAGGTAAAGGACTGTTGGCGTTATGTTACCTTATATTGAAATATTAAAACAAAAAAATAAAAATATGTGACAACATCTAAAATAATATACACGCATGTGTATAAACTTCTTAGCTTAAAGTATAATAGTGTATAACTACTGAGATTAAAACGATTTTGTAAATCAAGTTTTTATTTTATCTCTTTGCAATATATTTTGAGTAAAATTATTATTAGCAACTTAATAAGCTGTCTAGATATAATTATTTTCAAGATATTTTTGAAAATTCAAACGTATTAATAATTTGCTATAAAAATTAAATTTTGTTTAGATATTATAATATAATAAATAAGAGATTTTCTTTATAAGACTGGTCTCAAATTAAAATTTATTGAACGTGTTGTATAATACGTTATTGTTAATATCTAGTATCTACCTAAATAGTATATCTATAAATTGATAATCATGGTTACCGCATATGTTTAATAGATATTAATGTGATACAGTTTATTAAGGAAAAGTATAACTCCATGAATATTTAAAAATGGGTTTTAAATCTTTTTCTTTTTTATGTGAAATAGCCCTTCCAGTTAAATTTTTGTCTTACTGATAATTTCTAAAATTTTTAGTCATTGATAATTAATATTAAAGAACAGTTAACTTACTTTATTCTCGGATGAACTTCTCTCTAGATAGCTATAATATAGACCCCCGAGAAAATATCTAAAATTTCGTAGAATTTGAAAAAGGAAATCTATAAAAAATTATTTAAAATGCTATTGATAAAAAAAAATTTTAATTTAAAATCTCAAGTTCAATAATAATTATTAGTGTATGTGTAGTATAGTACGGACTTGGTATGTGAATAACATAATATTCATCTAGTATGGCGTATGAATGTGAAGTACGTATTAAACAATTTTAGGCAATGGTTATGTATAATAATATATAGTTATAGGAATATTATATATTTTATTGTGGATACATGGTATTTGCAGGCAGGACTGGCGAACCTTTTTCAAGTCAAGGACAATAATATTCTATAATCAAAGTTTAAAAAAAAAAAATTCACGTACCAGTAATATGTTTTTATCTACAAACTTTTTTTTTTTTGGATTAATCGAGGAGTCATAAAACTGAATTAAAAAAATGTATAAATTTAGTGTTTAAGAAACTATTATTATTTATTTCTATATGTATATGAATTTCAAAATTTTTGAATTTTAAATTAGTAACTATATTATTTATAAATAATAAACATTTTTTTTTACAACTATTTTTTATTAAAGGATGATTTAACAATGAATTAAAAATATTTTGTGCGCAATTAAAATTTGGTTAACGTCGTCATAGGTTTACCATCCCTCGTGTATAGTATATTATACTATCTATAATCCTATAGTGATCTAAGATATTTCAACGAATGGTCACAGAAGTATGTTATCATTTATTAGTTCGCATAAGACGAAGAATAATTTATGAGAATAATAATAATAATATTAATTTTGTGCCTTTTGTAAACCTACTATATTATTAATATTTGCAGACTAGAGACTGGTACCTAATATAGTATAATAAAGGCGAATATTAACGAGTTGAAAAATTAAAGCTTAGTTACTTTTAACAAAGTTGCATAACAAATTACTTTTCTTTTTTTATAAATTTTAATTTAATGTATTAAATTTTATCCATGATATGCAATTAATAATCATCTAATTAATTGTTTCGTCTTATTAAGTTTTTTTTCTAATATACCTATGGAAATTAATTTATTAAAAAAAAAAAAAAAAATAATAGTAAATGTTAATTATGTTTATTTAATGTTATAATATAAATATAAATAATAAATTGTTGAAGTGTTAAATGCACTATTTTTGGATTTCAATAAAGATCAAAATAATGTATATGAATAAAACTTTATAAAAATTTCTAGAGAAAACTACAGTTTACCTGGTCACAATTAACACATTAATTTCAAATCACTCTTCAGCAATAAACTAATAACTAACACTATTAGATAAGTGATTAGTGATAACTATAAGTTTGGCGTTTAACGTGAGTTAGTGCCGTGATCTCTTAATAAATTAACTTATTAAATAATTGAAACTTCTGTTTATGGGATCTAATGGGTAGCCTAATTTTTTATTGATTTAACTAGTAAGTATTATTTTTTAATAAATATTTTCGTTTTTATGTACCTGGATATGATTTCATCGAATTATATCAATTGTTCTCTGGCATCTCTGGCGTGATGGATTGTAAGTCGGTATTTGATTAAAAAAAATAAAAAATATAAACTGATTTTTAAGGAAGTCGAGTTATTATTTTTCTGTTTAACTTTCGACTTTTACCAATAAATTTAACTTACATTTTGTGTATAAACTTAACTTAACAAGCAGAAAAAAAGTACCCAGTCAACTTGCTCAGCCTTGAATATACCTAATATATTATATAATGACAACCGTCGCATAGTATATTATTGATAACGGCGGAATGTATATAATAAGTAATAACGCGTAATATTACACCGAACGTTATCTTGGATTAACTACGAGCAAACACGCGACACGTGAGCCCAGGATAACGTATAGGTAGAATAGGTAGGTATAAAAATATAGGTACGGTTAACGCGTTCACAATACAGCTCGTACCCGCTATACATCTATATGCACGCCCGTTATGTACCGCGGTAAATAGAAAAAAAATTCATACGCACAAGTACCATTAACCAGATTAAAATATTATTATTATTGCCGTAGATAGGTACTCGAGAAGACGGCGGCGAAGCACCGCTGCCAGTCTTCAACCCGTTTCGTGCGCGCACACTCCTAAATATTATAATTACCTATTACTTATTATTACTGTTGTGTTGTTTTATTCACATCGACTACTGCAGGTATGATTCAATATCGCAATTATTAGTAATATATTATATTATTTATATTCTCAATATTAATTATATCGTTGACGTTTACGGTCTCGCCGAAACGCGGCACCGACACGTTTTATTATTATTATTGTTATTATTAGTATTATTACGATGGGGTGCGAAAATTAAAATCGTCGTTTTAATAACAATATAGAACAATAATATAAAAATTATTTTTCGTGCGCGTAATCTGTGGAGCGCAAGTTACGCGCATTACCTACCTACCGTACAAGTAGCATTATTATTATTATTTATTAATATTATATTATATTATTATTATGCCATTCCGTCCGTTTCATCCGCCGCGTCGCGCGTCGTCGTCGTCGGACCCAAACGCCAAATCCTCCCGCCCCTGCCCGCGCGCCCACAGGCATCGCGCCGCCGTCGAACGCCATCGCCATCGGTGGTGGCGGCGGCGATGACTGACGGCGCGTCGCGGAGGAGGTCCACACTCATCTATTTAAACGCACCGGACGCGTTGCTCGCCGTTTCTGTCGCATCGCACACGCCATGTCGTGCATTGTCAGCTGCGATTCTTCGCGGATGGACGACGTGAACGTGACCACCGTTTTACTGGTATCAGCCAACGACAGACGAAAATCCGTCGTCGTCAACTTGCGCCGTCATCGGTCCTCGTCCAACAGGTACATAAAATTAATTTACACGAATAAATTTTATCATAATATTATATTATATTGTACAAGAAATAATTGTGTACGTAATAATAAAATTACGATCTTATAACGGATCCATGTACGTACCGAAACGCAATTTGACGTGTAATGATAATTATAATATGATTTCGATTAACAATAATTATAATTAGCGGGTATTAGCAATATATATTATCAGGGCCTAAAATTTTCTATTTTTCGTACTACACACTATATTTTTATTAAACGTTTATAACAAGTGATGTAAAATGAATAGTAATAATATAAAAAACAAAAAAACATTATTATTTGCTACACATTTTTGAATTTTGTAGTACACGTTTCATTTTTTGTACTGCACAAAGTGTATCGTAGTACAAAGAATTTTAGGGCCTGTATATATTATGCACTATAAACGGCAGTTTATAATATTAAAGCATGATTCAAGATAGTTATGGATTAGTATTTGGTAGTTTTATTTTCTTAGTAAGTCGTAAGAGTATGTATATTATACACATAGCATATAAGGACATATAATGATTTATAATATTTAATATAAATAACGTAATACCGGCCATATATAATTAATAGTATTCAAGTCTTAAGCGTACTTATAACTTTTTTTCCACAATTTTTTCCCCCGTATCACGGTCATTATTGATGAATGCGACTTGATTTTTGATTCACCGAATTTGTTATAACGATTGTAATAAATATCTACACTCTACAGCTATAGTGGTTTTCGAATTTTTTTATTATATTTTTAGTAGTGATTCATGTAGGATTTAATATTATTCAACAATCTCACCAAAAATTAAGTATATTAAACTAGAAATTCCTTACAATACTGTTTATTATTAGTGTATTTAGTATACTCGTACAATTTATTATTAAAGTAATACGTTTTATTATATTTATACATTTTCACTTAAGATAATATTAACTATTAAGGTTTTAAATTATTTTAAGTATGTAGATCCAAAATAGTCAAAATTGGATCGTGACTTTAATCAACTCTAACCTACTTTCTTAAGTAAACTGGGTGATTTATTTATGAAAAGATACTTATTTTTTAAAATCTATTAACATTTAAAAAATATTTATATTTTTTAATATTTTATAGTTTTAGTTTTTTAACTTTTTTGAATGACCACATATATTTTAAATTTCATTTTCTGAAGCAGAATATTGTTCGGAGTATTTAAAGTTAAGTTAAGCGGAGTAGTATGATTTTGCGGGGTATCTCCGTATCTCACCAATCCACTTAAATGAACTTTTAATACTTACAACACATAAACTACTCGTCCAGATTTCAGTTTTTATGCATTTAAATACTTAGAATTATATTCTACTTCAAAATATGTAATTAAAAATACATGTTTTCATTCAAAAAAAAAAAAAAATAAATATTAAAATATTATATCTATAAAAAAATATAATAATAAAAAAAAATTGTCTTGTATCTTGTATCGACTGGTAATGATGTAAAAAAAATATTTTTAATAACATTAAAATTTTTTGAAATATTGAGTTTGTTCAATAAAATAATCACCTTTTATATTAAAACATAGATTAAATGTATTAAATATGTCAGTGAGAAACTGTTTGGCAAATGAATAAAATTCACGAAATAAATGCTATAATTGAGGGTAAAAAAAATTTCTATAAGACTCACTGAAACCAAATTAGCGTGTACCTACTATGTTTGAATGATATACTAATAAAATTAACTTTTCTTAAGATTTTAAAATTTATTTATTTTTTTATAGATACATAATAATATTAATATATTATATAAATTGTGTTTTTTAGTGTATATAATTTAAATATTTTTTTGATTGAGCTTTTTTTCTTTATATTATTAGTATTCTACTCTTTAGGGGAATTTAGAAGATCTTTTGCGATAAGTACTAGGTATCTTTTATTGTTTTTTTAACATACCATGAATTTATCTTTTTGGTTTTCTATAAATACTGACTTCTCATATATATTTTATTCATTGTATCAATATTAAATTAATGTTGATATGTTATAAAGTTTTATTTATTTTTGTTAGGCTATTTTTCAACCGATTTCAATATATTTTATGAATACTTGACACTTGCCGTTTTAAATAAAACTAATACAATGCAAATTTTACTCTAAAAAGTATTTTTCAAAAATGAAATGATTTTTCTTGTGTTTAAATGTTTTATTACACAAACGGATATCATGTTAAACTAATATATTCTGTTGCTTAACAAATATTTACATGCATTAAATCCACTTATTTATTTATTTTTTATGTAACCGTTCATTTTTTTTCATATAATCATTGAAATAATAACAAGATTATATTATTACTTTTTAATAAAACATTTCGTTTATTGAATTTGTAAAAAGATTTCCTGTCACGTCTTCAATGAAAATTAGAAACCAATATCTTTAGGTATCTATTTTTTTTTAAACATCCCTGGAGGAACAACTTATAAACCATACTCTTGCTTCGTTCTCATAATATCAACAAATATAAAGTATCTACGATCTAATATAAAATAAACCCGTCCACTATTATTTCGTATACTTAGCAAAATTGTTCGAAACTTTAACGCATCATGCAGATCTATATTTTATTTGTTTTATTAGTGAGGTTATTTAGTACCCTATTACCACCGACGTCTGTTTAAAAACTAACAAATATAATATTGGAAAACACTAGATAATGAAGTACCATAATATTTTAAGTTCTGTACACAAAAAGCTTAACTCGTAACGTTAAAATTGTCCACCATACATTAAACATTACACTTAACATTTTGATGACAGTCGAATTTTGTGAAAATAGGCTTATTATACTTAACAACAACTATAAAAATAAGGAATAATATTTGTTTTATACCTAAATGTTAAAAACTTTCTTTTCAAAAAGTAAATGTCATACGTATCTATAATTTTAATATATATAGAATCCGGCAGGAACCTACTTATTAAGATTTATAACTTGTGTTTATTGTAACTTGTAAGTATATACTCTGTATTACAAATAGAGAAGGGATTTTTATGCACATAAAAATTATCAAATATTCGTTTAAAAAATAAGTATGGATATATGAATCAAAAAAATAAAAATATATAGTTAAATATGCCTTAAAAATATTATTCGCTCGAATAACAGTAAAAACTACATTTTTTCTTTAAATATTTTATTTATTTTAATTAAATTGTTGTATTCAATTTTATTTTTTCTATGTTATTATATTATGTATAAAAAATAATAATACAGTTAATACAGATCAAATCTAATTTACCCACTAACTATTATGATAAATAAATCTCCATTGTCTTTATGAGAAATTCACAGTTTAATAGAAAATTTTGAGTTTAATTAATAAAAAATATTTACCAAACTGCTTATTTGTGGATAAATAATTAAAATGTGCCCTTAAAATTAAAAATATGTTCTTTGCCCAAAAATTCTAAAATATGCAAGAATATGTGCTAAAAACTATAAATGTTAGATTATAAACGTTGTGATATGTATTGTATACTTACTAAGCATATGATAAAGTTTATTAGAAAAAATATGCAAATGCATAAAAAACCTTGCTCTAAATATAAATAACGTACAATTAAATACACGATATTGCATGAGAGCACTATACTTTACTTTAGTTACACAGGTAACCAAAATTCAAATGGAATTTAAATTTTGTTGGGATTTTTATAATATTTTAGACCCAAGAAATTAAAATTGTATTATTTTTAACAAAATTTTTTCAAATATTTTTTTTACTTTAATAGATTACAGTTTTTATTATTATGTAGACTATTAATTATAACATACATTATGCATATAAACAAAAGCAATTAGTTGATTGATCATTTTAATATTGTATTGAATTGTGCGTGCATAATATTTAAGTACTTATGTGAATGTTTTTAATCTGTTTTACTTTATTTAGTTTCATAAAAGAATCAAATATTAATTAATTCATTTTAAATAATCAAATTATTTTCTTTTGAGTTTATGAAAATAATTTTAACTTATTTGATCTAAACATATAAATAAACTTATAAATGAAGCCGTGAAAGGGTTGAGAATAAAATATTATGTAGTTAACTTAGTATTTCATATAGATAGTAGATGAGCTACCAAAAATATATATAAGCATGTATATGTATATGTACGAAAAACTAAATATAACCATTTATGATTTCATTAAAACCTACATAAAATTATTTAAATAAATAATATTAATTACATTTAAATCATGGCGAGAAAGTTTTTTTAAAAAGAAATAATAACGAATTTTCATATTTATTTTTATATATAGGATTTTTTAATACTTATCAAGCAATTATGTTACCATTATAATAAAAATAATAATTACTACCTACCTATTAATTTCAATATTTAAACCTTATTAGTTATAAGCTCATATCAATATCATTTTTACATAGAATAATATAATTTATAAACCACTTGATTACTTCATTTAGAAATTTTTTAATTTAGCTAGGTATATAATGCATTGTACTTGAGTTTGTTAAAAAAGAGTTAATATTTTGATAAAATATTTGTAATTTAAAATGTATTATATTAGGTATTATAGTTTATTAAATACGATTTTGTTGAAATTTATTCATTTTAAATAGAGGTTTCTAAATCATCCTAAATTAACTATCATTATAATTATACGTATAACTTATAATTAATTATATTTTATCTAACGTGATTTTATACAATTATAATAATATATGAGAACATAAAATGTATCTAATAATTATATCTCTTAATAATTATTGATATTATACTTAAATATAATTTACCAAATTAATATTATAAAATAATATTATACACTATACCTAAAATTAAACAGCCAACATAAATCAATAGTTATAATTTGATTTTATTTTTTTCATACTTGATTGCGTATTTATTTATCATTAGTGTGTGAGACTAGTTGACTGATTCAAACTGAGCATTATTTTCAACCTTATTGACTCGATAA